AAAGGCAGATTAATCAGAGAGAAGCCTGCACATGTATTTAATAACACAGGAGCTTCATGAAGAAGTGAATCTGAAGAACCTCTAAGCCTGAGTATTTCTTAGAGCAGCTCGATGAGGGCAGAAGTGGTGGAGAGTCGTGCTTGGGTGAAGACAGCACGGTCACTGGAGCGAGTGGACCTGAGCCAGGCATGCTCCGACCCCGCCCCTGATCCTCGTGATAAGATGCGCCTTTCCTCTGGGTATCACGAGGGTGCTTCTCGCATGAGGGGCTTCTGACCCGCTTCAGGGGAAGGTCGAACAGTCCTTCTTGCACCTGCTCCTTCTCAGATTTCTTCAGCCGAAGACACTCACTGGGCCGAGGTGCTCTGTTCTAGGGTAGTGTGTCCAGAACCCACCACGCTATAGAGAACAGCTCAGCGGCAGCCACTCTGCTGGCGGCATCCCAAACAACCCTCTGGAACTTCCTGTCTCCACCCGGGAGCTCCGAGGAACTCTCTCGTCTCACACACAGAGAGTGACAAACCCGGAGGGATCGAGGCAGGGCTGGGCTTCGGACCTGTGTCCAGTCAGGCACTCTGCCCCCTCCCCAGGCGGCCCCTCCACAGAGGGTCAGAGGATTCATCCCGTCCAGCCGTGACAGTGGAGCTGGCTGAACTCACAGAGTCTGCGCCCAGGAAGAAGCCAGCCAGGCAGCACCCGCCCTATGATCGCAGGGCCTCGTGCAAAATGAAAATGGGGGACCCTTATTCAACATGACAAAGTGTTTCCAGATGGTGACAGCAGATCACTGAACCAAGCCCAGGGCCCTTCGAGTCCCTTCTTGCCCATGGCGTGTGTCCATGGGGCCAGCACTGAGGCCAGGAGGGCTCCAGCCATCACAGGAAGAGCTGAAGCTCCTGGGGAAGGGGGCGCGCATCCTGCTTTAAAAGGAAAGGCAGACCCTGCATATCGCTGGTGGGAGTGTGAAGTGGTGAGCTTCAGCGCACTATGCTATGGCGGACCTAAAAACAATTAACTTAGAATTTCCATAGGATCCAGCAATTCCTCTGGGGTAGTTATTTATTTATTTAGAGACAAGTTCAGGCTCTGTCACTCAGGCTGGAGTGCAGCGGCACGATCATGACTCACCGTAGCCTCAACCTCCCAGGCCCATGGGATCCTCCCACCTCAGCCTCCGCAGTAGCTTGGACTACAGGTGTGGGCCACCATGCCTGGCTAATTTTTTGTATCTTTTATAGAGATGGGGCCTTGCCACATTGCCCAGGCTAGTCTTGAACTCCTGGGCTTAAGCCATCTGCCCATACCGGTCTCCCAAAGGGCTGAGATTACAGGCACGAGTCACTGCACCCAGCCCACTCTTGGGTATTTATTCAAAAGAACCAGAAGAAGGGACTCAAACAGGTACCTGTGCACTGCTGCTCACAGCAGCCTCAGACACAGCAGCCAAAGGTGGAAACAGCCCAATGGACAGGTGAATGGATACACACAGTGTAGTGTGTACACCCCAAGGAATATCAGCCAGCCATAAAATGGAATGAAATTCGGACAGGTGCTGCAATAGAAACGGACCTTGAATACACTGTGTGAAGTGAAATAAGCCAGACACAAAAGGATGAATACATGATTTCACTTACGTGAGGAACCCAGGGTGGTCACAGAGAAAGTGGGAAGGTGGCTACTCAGGCTGGGGGAGGGGACGCAGGGTACAGAGGTTCTGTTTGGGATCGTGGGAAAGTTCTGGAAATGGATGATGACGCTGGTTACACAGGGCTGCGAGTGTACTTAATGCCGCTGAACTATATCCTTCAATTCTATGTAATTTTGCTGCAATTTTTAAAAAGGGGGGCCGGTGCTTGTGGGAAGATGAGACACGTGTGGGCACCTGTGAGCGGCACAGGAGCCTGAGGGGTCACAGCTCCCCTGCTCGGAGCCAGGTGCCACGTCCCACAGTGGGGCTTCCACTGCCCTCTGAGAGGCTGAAGGTCAGCCCAGAGGCAGGCCCTGGGCTCCAAAAGCCCTAAGAGCTCACTTGATCCGTGGAAGCTACGGGAAACCCTCCCAGCCGAAGCCACCCCTGCAGCTGAAAGGGCAGCTGCTTCCATGAACCCACCCCCAAGTGCCAACGAAGGAAGACTGAGGTCAGAGCCTGGGGCCCACAGCCAGGCTGGGCCACGGACATGAGACAGTTTCCAGAATGGGGTGACATCGCAGCACTGACTGAGACTTACCCTCATATGTTACATTAGCATTGGGAAAACTCCCAGTGGAACAAGGGGCTGACCTTCCCCCATTCATCTAGAAGTTTCCATCTGTGCTGCTGACTCAGCAGCTGTCCCCACCTGCGCCTGCGTCCTCTGCCCTTGGAATCCCAATTTTTCCATATCAAGCCCTGGCCTTGCAGCCTGCAGGGCATGCTCTTTGACATCTGACCACCCCGATTCAAATTTAGGCCCTCTGGACCTCTAGGGGCCTCAGTTTCCTCCTCTGTAAAATGGGAACAATGAAGTCCCTGACTCACTGAAGTCCCCCACTCCCCTGCCCCATGGGCTAGGATTCCCTAAAGCTCATGGCAGGTGCCTGACTCAACGAACAGTGGCCTTGATGGTGATGACCGTCCCCGCACAGCAAAATGCTTCCTCTCTCCCTGGCCTTGGCTCCGTGGAACTGAGGCTCTGTTTGTTGTCGGCAAACAAAGCCCAGCTGGGGAGAGGATGTGGGGCTTTGGCGAAGGAAGCTGGGGAGCCAGGGACGGTGCTGCCTGGAGTCCTGACGGGCCTCTCTCCCCGAGCCAGGCAGCTTCCCTCTCTGAAGCCTGCCTTGCCCTGCTCGGCAGAACACACCGCGGCCACCATGGTTCACAGAGAGCCTGGAACAGGGCAGGACAAATAGGGCAGGCTGTTGAGAACCCTGAGAGGCAAGGCCAGAAAGTGGGCATTTTCTCATGTGGGAAAGATGCTGGCCCCCACTTCTAGGGTGGAAATGGCTCTAACCTGCTGGGCCTGTGCTCCAGGGCTGAGCGACAGCTTGGGATCATGCATCTGTCCCGGTTGGGACACAGCAGCTGGACCGTGGGGAAGGGCTGCATTCTCTCTGCTGGCTGGGTCTCCTCCCCCCGCACCCGGTCATCTGCCAAGGGCCATGTATCTCTATCCCCAGCTGGGGTGGGTGTAGGGAGATGCAGGTGAGCTGCTTCCTACGGGGAGCCTCTGCATCAGCTGGGAACTGAAATGTGCACATTGTCAGCCCCGCCGCAGACCTCTGAATTAGAAACTCCAGGGCAGGATCTGGGTTCTGTGTCCTAACAGGTCCCCTGGTTGGTTCAGATGCAGCAGGAGGGTGGGGCCATGTCTGTGCTGTCCACTACCAAACCCTGGGCCTAGAACACTGCGCCTGCGCCAGGAACGTGTGCATAAACATCATTACTCCAAAGCCCCAAAGGAAGGCATGTGAAGGGTTACTGTGCCCCAGTGCTGGGCCGCCGCCCTAGTCATGCTCACACGGCATCTCGACTGCTCCTGCGGCAGGTGCCTCACCCAATTCCACCAGAGAAACAGCGGGTGGCTGCTGACGTGCTGCTCACCGTGGTAGAGCTCTACCAGCGCTCTTGTGTTTTAAATTTTCACAGTCATCCTGGGAAGGAAGTGTTATCCCCATTTCACAGGTGAGAAAACAGGCAACAGAGAAGCACCCGTAATTCCAGGTACTAAGGAGCACATCTGGGATTTGAAACCAGGGCCCAAAGTTCACGAGCTCTCCACTTGCTGCGTCTTTTAGGGACCACTTGGGCTATCTGGTATTTGGAACAAATGTGGTCCCTTCCATACGTCCTGATTTTTACGGATGGCACAGAACATCTTCCAACTGCTACCAGGGAAGGCTCGGTTCTGAAAGTTAATTTGTAAGTTGGTTGCTTGTGACTAAGAAATCGGTTTTGAAAAAAAGGATTTCTGGGTTCCCAGGCCAGCCCACAAAGAACCCTGGACTCCCAAGGCAGCCCCAGGCTCCTGTGAGGGGCTGCATCTCACCTCAGCTCTGAAGCTGACACTTCCAAGGTGAAGTCGTCTTGATGAACGCCTCTCTAGGAAATGCATTTGGAAACCACCTGGGGCTGCAGGGACTGGGTCTGGCCCAGGCGCGGGGTTCTGGTGGGGCTGAGTGTGGGGCCTTGTGCTGCAGCAGGTCTGAGAGGGCTTCGGCCCCAGAGAGACGTGGGCAGAGCACCTGCAGTTGAGAGCTGCAGATGGACAGACGGACAGAGGACCGAGCCCCTCCCAGGCTGCTGTTTCCAGGTCGGTGTGGACACAGGGACTTCGGGGCAGCCCACAAGCTGTCGTTTCTCTGCCAGGCAGGTGTTTACTCACTCATCTGCCATGGCCTGGGGCTCTCACTGCCCCATCCCCCTGCCCTGCGGGTTCATCAGGAGTTTGAGGCTTATTTTTCCATAAAACTTCATAGTCTACTTTTTTTTTTTTTTTTTTTTTGAGACGGAGTTTCGCTCTTGTTACCCAGGCTGGAGTGCAATGGCGCGATCTCGGCTCACCGCAACCTCCACCTCCTGGGTTCAGGCAATTCTCCTGCCTCAGCCTCCTGAGTAGCTGGGATTACAGGCACACGCCACCATGCCCAGCTGAATTTTTTGTATTTGTAGTAGAGACGGGGTTTCACCATGTTGACCAGGATGGTCTCGATCTCTTGACCTCGTGATCCACCCGCCTCGGCCTCCCAAAGTGCTGGGATTACAGGCGTGAGCCACCGCGCCCGGCCCATAGTCTACTATTTTAAAAGGGTAACTCTCCTACAAAGTTTGTATCGTAAAGCAGGAGTGCCCTGCTTACCTTGAGTCCGTCTCTAGGTAACCCTTACAACTCTTTTTAGTCCCTTGGCATCTAAAATCTCATGCGGATTCCGCCTTGATTTTGTAATTTTATAGAGCATTATGTATTATATCATGACATAGCTCTCACATGTGATCTCCCGGACACACATAACCTTCTTGTCTGTCCTTGTGCACCTCCTGTCCTCCTCTGGGCTGGCTGGCATTGGCCTCTAGCCCAGCCACCCAGCTCCACCATCACCCTGAGGGTTCTCTCCTGTATCGGGCTCCAGTTTCCTGTGCCCCCTGTACCCTCTCTCCTGGTTTTCTCCCTTGTTTTGTGGGAGCACATCCTGGAGTAGCTGCCTGAGAAAGAGGGCAAGGGGGGTGATATTTTTCAGGAACTCACATGTCTGAACATATCTTCATTCTACCTTCACACTTCACTAAGTTCTAGCTGACAGAAAAGTCTAAATTAGAAATCATTTCCCCTCAGAATTCAGAAGATCCTGCTTCACTGTGCTCCGGCTTCAAAATTTGCTTTGAGAATTTCAGTGCCATTTGAATTCCAGATTCTTTGTGTGTGACCTTTTTTCCTTCTTCGTTGGAAGGCTTTGGGATAGTCTCCCTTTATCCTGGTGTCCTGAAATTTCTTAAGAAGGTTTGGTATAGCTCCTTAATTTTCTTACGTTGAAATATTTCTGACACATAAAAAATACAAATCTATACAGTGAGTGAAAGGCAGGAAAGCACTGAACATGTGGGTGGGGCTCGTGGACTGGGGGTCCCACAGTGGACTGGGCAGACACACTGTTTTCAGAACCCCCAGTGTCAGGGCCTGCCCATCTGTTCTCTTTCATCAGTTTTCCAGAGGTAAATTCAATAATGTTCTGCCTTGGGGGTGGACAGATGGGGACCAGGCCTGGCTTTTATCAGCCCCTTTCAGGGATTTTAATGAGGAATGAGGGCCTCCACATTAACACCCTGATTTCAGTTAGGTGCCCTGGCCTGGCCTTTGGCAAGGCTTGGGGTCCCCAGTCCAGAATCTTTTCAGATCACCCTTGGCCGGCAGTACACCTGTCTCCCACCATGCTCAGGGAAGGGCAGTCCCCAGACCGGGAGACGGGACCAGAGGTCTAAAGACTTCTTTCAATCAATACAATTTTCAGACCCACGCTGGGCTTCCTGGTTAGGGACACCTGGCCCTCCACGTTCTGTGCATTTGGGGTATTCTGCAGAGCAAATAGGCTTGTTCATGCTTGGCTTCCTTCTTTGTAGACATTTCGGGGCTGACATTAAGTGAATTATACCGCTCAGCTTCCAAAGTTCCTCTTCTTTTTCTCTTTGTGGTTTATGCCATTTTCATTCTTTTACGTCATTCTAGTGGGGTTTTGAGGGACAGAGGAAAATATGAATATATTCAGTGCGCCATATGTAACCAGCAGTCCTTGTCCATTTAAAATTCATTTTTGCATACGTCCGTATGTTTGTGGAACTCATTCTGATTATCTGTGTTGTGAAATACTTCCTTTTGTATGTAGATGGCCTTGCTTATCCACGCAGCGTCAGGTGTGTGAGCCGCATGAACACACACAGATCGAGCCCCTCCTTTCTCTGCGGCTTAGGAAGTGTTCCAGCAAGTCAATGCATGACAGTTTTTTCCATCCATTTTCTATGGATGCATCTCAGAAACACAGGCAATTGTGGTCTTTTGATCAACACACTGGCTCAATGCAAATTTAAATCTTCATTGTTTTAATTCTGAAGCATAACGTGTCACAGGGAAAGTGAGTACTCCTTTACCATTTGCCAGCAGCAAGGACAAAAAGCGAATGGTGGGGGCCCAGGAGCTCCCAGCTTGGAGAGAAGGAGGCCCTTCCGGATCCGGGGACCCAGGGGTGGGGTGGGGGAGGCAGGAGGAGAGCAGGTGTGGACACTGTCATGCACACGCCCCCCCACACGTTCTCTCTTCAGGGAAGGGTTTTCCAGAAGCATTTGCCCATACTCGAAGTATTTGCATGCCAAGCCAAACCTGCTAAGAGAAGTGAACTAATGGCTGAGGGGAGCCACGTGCCCTGGCCGGGGAGTTGCCTGAAGGCTGCTCTTCAGTGAGTTAACAGCGTCCACCAGAAACATTCCCAGCTCCTCAAGCTGAAGACAGGCTGAGCAAAAACCAGGCAGGCTGTGAGGGGATTCAAAGAAACCTAATAGGGCCGGGCGCGGTGGCTCGCGCCTGTCATCCCAGCACTTTGGGAGGCCAAGGTAGGCAGATCACTTTAAATCAGAAGTTTGAGACCAGCCTGCCCAACATGGCAAAATCTTATCTCTTCTAAAAATACAAAAATTAGCTGGGCATGGTGGTGGGCACCTGTAATCTCACCTACTCAGGAGGCTGAGGTGGGAGAATTGCTTGAGCCTGGGAGGCAGAGGTTGCAGTGAGCCGAGATCATGCCACTGCACTCCAGGCTGGGCAACACAGCAAGACTCCATCTCAGAAACAAACACACAAAAACCAAAGAAACCTAACAATGCCAGGTTTCACCTGCAGTCCTGGGCCAGCCCACGGGAGGGGGGCCTGCTCCTGCCTCCCACAGCTGAAGGGAGGGGGAGGTGGGCGAATCTCACACCCCACTGAAGGGAGGGGGAGGTGGGCGCTGCTCTGGCTCCAGTGCTCACCTCTAAGGGCCACACACAGCTTTGGAGGCCATGCCCTAGGTTTCATTTGATCTTGCCATTAATATAGCAATGGAGAAAGCCCTGCCTGGCTGCCCCTCTGACACTGCATGTGGGAAGTCCCCCACACCCTAGCCCAACCCAAGACCCAAGCAAACTTACAATAATCACAAGGTAGGTTGGGGTCGTGGGGCGGGGGCAATAAATAAGGTTGGGGTTGAGGGCAGCAGTGGGAGGGGTGGTGGAAGCAGAGGGCCCCCTGGAGAGAAGGGGTGCAGAAAGGCACTGGGTGGGGATGCAGACAGCTCCCAACACTGGTTTGTTGCGTCGTGGGCAAAAGGGTGGCTGGCGAGGGCACAGGGACCCGTCCGGGAGGAGCCTCGCAGGGTCTGGCTCCAGCTTTCTCCAGAATCTTCCACGGGGAAGTCTGTTCCATGCACCCAGCGCCTCAGCCCGGGCAGCTGGAGGGGCCTGCTGGAGCCACATCAGCAGCGGGGGATGGCCCAGGTGTGTCTTTTACCTTTGGAGGAAAGAAGAGGCCACCACGAGGTGAGCAGGGGTGGAGTCCCTCCCTCCCCAGTGACATCGCGGCCTTTGGGAATGAGAGGGAGGGCTGGTGGGGAAGGCAGGCTTCTGCTGACAGCGCCCCGGCTCGAGACCAGCACCACACCACTCTGCGCTGCTGTGTGATGGCGGCAAAGTCACCGGTCCCTCTGGGCTTCAGGCCCCCTCCCAACCCAGGTGACCAACACAGCAACCCCAAAATGCCGGAAGGAGCAGATGGACACGGAAATAGAAAATTCTCCTCCGAGCTGATCCTTTCCAAGCTGTTTCTTAAGCCTGGGAACACTCTCTCCACACTGGGCCACATGGCTTCCCCTTTATTACCCCCAGAGGACCCCCAGGGGAAAGCAGTCCGTGTGGACATTGCATTTTGTCTCTCTGGAACCCTGTGAGGGACACCTTATCGATAACAGAACTGAGTGCAGAGAGATCAAATACAAGGGTGAACCGTATCGAATTGCTGATATTTCACTGTTTTTGAACCAAAAAAATGCAATTTCAGTTGGGTGCGGTGGCTCTTGCCCGTAATCCCAGCACTTTGGGAGGCCAAGGTGGGAGGACTGCTTGAGCCCAGGAGTTTGAGACCAGCCTGGGTAACACAGGAAGACCCCACCTCTTTGAAAAACACATAAAAAATAGCCGAGCATGGTGGCATGTGCCTATAGTCCTAGCTACTTTGCAGGCTGAGACAGGAGGATTGCTTGAGCCCCGGGGGTTGAGGCTGCAGTGAGCTGTGATCACACCACTGCACTCCAGCCTGGGCAACAGCATGAGGTCCTGTCTCAAAAAAAAAAAAAAAATGCAATTTCATGTGGTTCAACCTGGGGGGTCTGTTCAAGATCCCGTGGCTGTGGGTGGCAGGGCTGGGACAATGACTCAGGCTGCCTGATCTACACTGACCTCTGACCTCTGTGGAGGACCCCCAGGAGGCTAGAAGGAGGGGGCAGGTCTGCTCCACACCAAAGATGCCTCCCGGTGCTCTGCAGCTTCTGGGGAACCATTGAGTGGGGGAGGGGAGGCGGGAGAGGCATTCCTACGGTGGCTGCCAGGTGCCCTCCACACCTCGGGAGGGAGATCGGCTGTCGCCCTGGTGCGTGTGTGTACCCACAAATTGAGTGGGGGTGGGAGGCGGGAGAGGCATTCCCTCAGTGGCTGCTGGGTGCCCTCCACCTGGAAGGGAGATCAGCCACCACCCTGGTGCATGTGTGGACCTGTGAATCCTCAGGCCAGGGAAGGGCCCAGCCCACCCAGGGCTTCTTTCTTGAAGGAGACGAGGCCGATCCTGCACCTGCGCAGCTTTCTCTGGCCTCAGTGTAAGAAGGACCCCCTCCCCTGTCACAGGACGGTCCTGGGCCGGCCAGGGCTGGGGCCAGCAGGTACAGGGCAGAGTGGGATCCCAGGATTCTCCCCTCACTCTCTCTGTGCCTTGGTTTCTCCCCCCATCAGATGGGGATGATAAGCCTCCCAGCCACTCTGCCAAAAGAAGGCAAGTTTACCCCCAGAGGCGCCAGGCAGGTTGGGCTCCGTGTCCCAGGCCCTGTGGTTCTGGAATGTCCCTCCAATGACCTGGGCCAGCTCCAGGCTGGGCTCTGTTTCCAAGGGGTTGATGTGGCTTCCTCTGCCATGTGGCAGGTTTGGGGAGGGCAAGGGCTGTCCCACCTTGCTCCCAGCTCAGGCTGGGCACTTGATGAGGCTCAGTGAGGACTGACTGCCTGGCGCACAGTAGGTGCCCTTGAGCGGGAGATGTAGTATCACGGTAAAGCCATCAGAGAGATGGGGAAATGCTTTGTAACGCTGAGGATGGTAACCACTGCTGTAATTACCAAGTGGCTATGGAATCGCTACCATGACCAATTTGGGCCCCTCTCTCTGTTCCTGACAGGCCAGGATGGGGTCTGGCTCACCTGGTCCCCAGCACAGTGCTCGGTAAACATGGGGCACTGACCATGTCACCCACCACCCTCCAGTTTGGGAGGAGTGAGTGAGAGAGGACGTGGCCGGGGGGCAGGAGAGGGGAGAAGGCAGCAGCCGGGTACTCACCAGGGCCCTTCAGGTCAGCCCGGGGCAGAGTGCCCTGCGGGTCAGCAGAGCCTGTCCCTGTCTCACTGGCCAGGCTGCTCTGGCTCCCGGAGAGGTGGCCGGGTGGGCGGGCGAGCCCCATCCTGGGGGCCTCATCGCTGCCACCTGTGGGAAATCATGTGTGGGCCCCATGGGTCTCAAACTGAGAGGGGGTGATCATGGTCGAGGTCCTCGTTGGGAACCATGGTGGGTCTCTGTGGGATGTCTGCCCCCCACCCCACCCACATGGCCGCCAGGCTCTGGCATGACCCCACCCTCTGGTCACTGCTGCTGGGTCCAAGAACGGGACTGCAGGTCACTTCACTAAGTCATAAGTCACCAACATGAAAATCCACAATGATCACAGACTGGGGATGGGGGTGGGGATACATATTTTGGTTAACCTAATGAGAGAGAGATGTTGATGGCTGCCTTAACTCACTAAACGATCCTCATGCAAACATGGTTTTTGGTCCTCGCCTGGCCAAGAGAGAAGACGTGAAGCCTGCTACTTTGCTGACCTTTTCCCGACTCCCAGTCCTATGTGGTCAGAGCTGAGGGTGGGTGTGGAGCGAGGGACCAGAGCTCATGGTGGGAGGAGGGGTGAGTATAAAACCTGCCCTGGAAACCTAGGCTGGCAGGTAAGTTTCCTTTATACTCGTCTAAATCTCTAGAATCTTTAGACTGAAGTCACTGGTGCAGGGAAAGTTTTCATCTCTGACACCATCTCTACCTACTGATACTGGCCACTTGGAAAGCTGCACTGAGGAGGATTCTGAGGGCTCATCCGGGCTCTGTGATCACCTAGCAATGTCTGCCCTGGTCATGGAGTGGGGAGTGGTGATAGGTGTGCCAGGCCTCTGCTGGCTCTGATTTAGCTCACACTTCCATTCCCAGCCCAGTCTTGGTCCCGAGACAGGACCCCCAAGGCACTTCATTCCCGTTCGGGGCTCAGTTATTATAGAGCCCTTTCTTCCTATCTACTAAAATTGTCCTCCCTGAAACTTCTTTCCAAGATCCCAGTTCCAACCAGTGGGGTGACTGAACGAAGCTGGCCCTTTTTCCAAAGTCCTTCCTGGTTTCGAAGTCCGTCTCACTTGCTAACAAGAAGAAAATGTAGGCCCAGAGGTCACGGCAGGTCCTGGGGACCCCACGGTGGTTTCATGGCAGATCTGGGCTCGTGCAGGGAACTTTGTCCCTGATTTTCACACTCTCAGGATTCAAGAGGCAACCTCTCAGCTGGGGAACACTCACAGGTGAGCGTGGGAGTCCCAGGTGTGCCGGCCCTGCCTCCCATCGTCCACCTGCCCTCCTTCTCCCGCTGTGTGGACAGAGGAGCCTCAAGAAGCCTGATCACCCATCCCTAGGCCTGCTTCTCCTTCCAGATGTAGAAGAGCTCTGTGGACACCTGGGGGGAAGCAGCAGCATTTTTTGGGATGGAGGAGGACAAAGTCTTGCTGTCACCAGGCTGGAATGCAATCACTGCAACCTCCGCCTCCTGGGTTCAAGAGATTCTCCTGCCTCAGCCTTCCAAGTAGCTGGGATTACAAGCATATGCCACCACACCCAGGTAATTTTTGTATTTTCAGTAGAGATGGGGTTTCACCATGTTGGCCAGGCTGGTCTCGATCTCCTGACCTTATGATCTACCCATCTTGGTCTCCTAAAGTGCTGGGATGACAGGCGTGAGCCACCGCGCCCGGCCAATAAGCAGCATGTTACTCCCCACCTACCTGACTTTCTCCAGGGTTTGTCGTCTTTTGGGTCCCTGACCCCAGTGGGTGGGAGTCTGTCCTCTAGGCTGGAGGAGCTGAGATCTGAGTCACTGTCACTGTCACTGGAAACCCCTGGAAAAGACAGACCACAGCACAGGAAGTCACACAACCAGACACTGCTGCAGGCACAGACAGGGGCCAGGACAGGCCTCCCCAGCTGGGGACAAAGTGGCGTGGCAGCCCAGCTGGCCCTTTTGCTTTGGGCAGGAGATGCAATGGCCTGCGGACGGGAGGGCACGCGTTTCTGCTGGCCACAGAGGGGAGTCCTGGCGTGAGGAGGCTGGGACTCAGAGGCTCAGCGTGACCAGCATACAGTTCACCTGCTGGCCAGCCATCTCCACATGTCAGCCCCGTTTTAGTTCCCATGATGGAACCAGAACCCGCCCGCCATGGCGGAGGCTGATTATCACGGCGCTGTGGACACAGCAGCTCTGAAGCCTCCACCCGGTGAGGCAGGAGGCCCAAGGCGATGCTCTGTGGGGATGAGGGTGGCGTCAGGCCTGACCTGAGGGAGCGTCCCAGGCATGTTCCACAGACACGTTCACCGAAGCTTCAGAACAACTGTGAGGTAGGAAAAAGCATTACCCCCATTCCACAGGCAAGACTACAGGGGCACACGCCCAAGGGGAAGAGCCGGGATTCTCCTCACAGCAGGCCATGCTCACAGCCCTGACTCCACTGGAAGAGCTGAACTGGGAGGCGGCAAGCCTGGGCTCTCATCCCAGTTCATCCAGTAACTCGCAGTGGGGTCTTGCAAATGTGGAAGGGAGCCAGACAGATGGGACTGGAATCCCAGCAGGGGGAGGCGAGGATGTTGTCACAGCGAACGCCCACTGTGGGAGGAACTCTCTCTTCTGGGCTAAATGGGACCGTGTTTGGCTGGGTAATCAACAGTGGGAGTCATGATGCAGGATGCGGCCACCTGTTAAACGTTCTATTTTCATTTTAAACACAGAAATGTATACCTATTCGCCAATCCTTCGATGCCAGGCTTGGGTGCTCCTGCAACATTGGCCCACGTGGCCTCCTGTGTATAAACCGCACCATGCTGTGTTGTCTGCGACCCCAGTTGCAGTTTCTCTGAATTTTGGCAGGACCCACAGACCCTGGCGAAGGAGGACAACTGCAGAATCTCCCTTTCTCCATCTCTTCCTTTTGGCTTTCACAGTTGTCCTGCCCATCCCTAATTCCACAGATTTTTATAAAGCAAGTTGCTTCCATTAAGACTTTCCAGGGCCGGGCATGGTGGCTCATGCCTGTAATCCCAGTACTTTGGGAGGCCAAGGTGGGTGGATCACCTAAGGTCAGGAGTTCAAGGACGGCCTGGCCAACATGGTGGAACTCCGTCTCTACTAAAAACACAAAAATTGGCTGGGCATGGTGGCAGGCACCTGTAATCCCAGCTACTCAGGAGGCTGAGGCAGGAGAATCACTTGAACCCGGGAGGCAGAGGTTGCAGTGAGCCGAGATTGTGTCACTGCACTCCAGCCTGGGCAACAGAGGGAGACTCCATCTTAAAAAATAAAAAAATAAAAAAAGACTTTCCAAAGTCTCAGTTTTCATGAAACAATTCTGTCTCTTTTCTGACTCTTTCCGTCAATTCGTATAACATTTATTTAAATGTGACATCATTGCAATACCTAGTACAACTGCACAGAAAGATCTGGATCAAGGGCAACCAGCTTTGCAGGCGAGAAGCTCAGCAGATGAGGCAGGAGTGGTCAGGCGCCTGTCAGTGTTTTCCTTGGGGAATGCCAAATGCTGGTGGTTATGGAGGAAGGTTAGGATGGGTTGAGCTCCTATGCCAGGCACTGCGCTGGGTTCTTAGTGAGCATCGTCCTCCTCAGTCTTCCAGACAGCCCTGAGCCACAGTACCCGCTGGTGGGAGATGAAACCGGAAACAACATCGATCTATACCGAGGGAGGCTAGCAGGTGACATTTGATCCACCAAGCCCTTTCTGGAGCAGTGTATAGGGAGAATTCAGAGACGGCATGGAGTTAGTGGGAGGAAGTACCTGGTTAGTAAGGAAAATCCACCGTGGGCACTGGGATGGGAAATGGTAGCTTCCATGGAGATCCAGAGGCTACTGGAAAGCTTTCGTGCCTTCAGCCTATGTCACATTTCAAATAAGGATGTCAAGGGTCTTGGAACCAAGCAAGCAGAGGCTGGAGCTGCTGCCAGGTGGACCCAGAGACTCTCAACCCTGTGCACCCCCAGAGGCTGGAGCTGCTGCCAGGCAGACCCAGAGACTCTCAACCCTGTGCACCTCCAGAGGCTGGAGCTGGTGCCGGGCAGAACCAGAGACTCTTAACCCTGTGCACCCCAGCAGAGCAGCCAGCACACAGCAGGTGCTTCATGAAGCTCAGGGACGTGTGGTCTTGCCTCTTTTCTCCTCACGTCCTGCCATTTTCACAGATATGGCTCTTGAATTGGCTGCTTCCTCACTGTCACTGCCTTGTTTAACTCGAGCTGTTGGCTCCTGCCACCTGGACTCCTGTCACGATGCCCCACCTGGACCCCAACTGCAGGCACCCCACGGTGTGTTCTCTGCATAGCCAGATCCAGCAAGAGCATAGGTCCCGGCTTCACCCTCTTTAAAGGCTCCCCATGCCCCTAGGGCCTCACCAGGCTCCCGGCCTTTGTCTACTTTTCCAGCTGCATCCCACGACACCCGCTGTCTCCCCCAAGCCTCCAGCCTCCTGCGGCTTGTGGGTCTTGCCGCCACCTCTGGCTGTGACTGGCTTGCCTCTGCCCAGAATGCCCTGCCCACCCGTCTTCTCTTGGCTTAGTTAGAAAACTACCTCCTCCAGGAAGCCCTCAGTCTCCCCTGTGCCCTGGCTGGCTGGATGACCTATACTCTCTGCTATAGCTGCACCAACTGCTTTCTGCCCTGTTTGCTTCCCCCAGCAGGTCGAGAGGTTCCTTGAGGGCAGGGACCAAATAGCACAGGCAAACGAGGCTGGTGTGGCTCTCCTCTCTGTGGGCCCGACCTGTGCTCTGGGGCAGGAGTGATGAGCATGGGATGGGGCCTGGCCTTTCCTTCCTCCACCTGCTCAAAGGCGCTGCCTTTTTCTGCCCTGCTCTCCAGGAAGAGTTCAGCTTTGGCTCCTCGGACTTCTGCGACACAGCATTAAGAGGAGAGGGCATGGAGCGTGGCTGTAGTCTGCATGCCCCTTCCTAGTATGTGACAATGCAAGCAAAACCTGCCTCATTTTGCAGTTGTTTTTCAGGTCCTGGACTGAACTACTTTGATCATGAATCTACCAAGACTGGACCTCATGGGCGTCAGTTTCATAAGCATTTATGTAGTTTTGATTCACTGATTAGATGCCAACTTCATGGGTCCCATGAAAAAGGGCTAGGAGGAGGTGGCAGAAGGCAGGGTTTCCTGCTGGACTCCTGGAGAAGGCCATTCCCCACGTCACCCCTGAGGCAGCCACAGTGGAGGGCTATGGCTTATCCTCCCCGGAGGCCAGGCCACTTCAATGCACAGCAGGAGAGTCCCTGCAGCGGGGTAGCTTGCCTCCATGTCGGTCTCCGCCTCTCTCTGGCAGAGATGCTTATGGGAGATCCAGTCATGCTTCCTGACTTGAACTGGCCCAGCTTGCCCATGGCTAATATGCAAAATCTACACAGTCCGGGGCTGGAGTGGGTGGGGCTCCATGCTGCTCTAGCTGGCTCCTTTGGTGCGAAGGGGCAGATGCCAAAGGACTTGGAAGGAGGCGACAGGATGGGATGTCCCAGGACTGGGTTAGGGAGGCGAGCTCACCCTCTCCATCGTCCCTGCCCTGTTCTGTCATCTATCACACGTGGTTACAGAGTCGGGCTGGGAGCAGGCGAAAACTGCAAGACAACCGTGAACTGCGCCACGCCTCATCGTGAGGACGGCATTTGTTATGAGCTGTGCATTTTATCCAAAACGGCAACCCTGGAGGTGGGGTTGGGGTCAGGGAGTCTCACGGCCTAGTCCCCATGTGTGCCTGTGTGCACAAAGGTTAACAACAAAAAAAATGTAGAAATCCTCCCCAAGTTACAGTCAGCCGGCTTGTTCTTCATCTCCTTTTACACAGACCCCAAAGGGCCACAGCCGTGAAAAAGGGCAGAAGAGCCTCCGACGCCAACTGAGCTCGCAAAGGTGACACAGAGCAGGTACCAGGCAGCCAGTGAAACAGGCTCACGGCTTTCAGATGCTTCTCCCCGGCTGCAGCCTCTCTGCTCATTGTGTCTGCGATTTCAAGCTGGGGCTTAGAGGTCTTTGTGGTACAAACCCAAATCCCATTTCTAATCCACTCTAATAAACACCACTCGAAAGAAATAAATCAGAGGAAGTCAGCGGTGCCCACACCAGCCTTGGGTTCACTGCCAGTGCAGAAGGCCTACACCGGAGAACCCTGCTGAGAAGTCCCTGGCCCACCACGAACACCGCAGGCCAAATGTCCCCAGCTTCCTCGGGATGCGAAGGAAGCAGCCTTCCCTTCTGCCCCCACTCCGGAAACGTCATTGAAACCCAAACCTCGCCTAATTTGCCATTCGATGGCCACTGCCGCCTTTCTCCCCGCACAGCAGCTGTACTGTCAGTCTTCCAGGTCCATTCGCAAAGCTTTCAGGCTCATACATCTTTTGGCCCTTACTCTTCCATCCTCAACATAACACTCTGTGTCTGAAGGCTGATATATTTTTTTCTCCTTAATTCCCCAAAGGCTGAGTCTGGGATGGCTTGCCGAGGGGCCCTGTACTCTGCCCACACCTGAATTTTCAGATGGAAGATGGGGGAACACCAGGGAGAAGCCTGTCCCAATAGTCTTTCGGAGAAAGACATATCATCAGATGGAGTCGCCCAGTGCCACCAAGAGGCAGGAGTGGGGGAGGAGCTCCCTCCACAGTGGCCTGAGCCACTGCTGGATTCCTGGCATCCCTCAGACTTCCCCACCGTGGTCCAGTAGGGCTGCCTGCCTGCCTGGAGCTCATCCTCAGCAGCGCCAGCCCCAGTGCCAGCCGTGCCCACTTCTCTGGGGAGAGGCCAGCTTTTCCTTCCCCCTGCTTACTCTTGGCTGGATTTGCAATTTGACTGTCACCATGGAAACTCAGCGTTTTGGTATATGGTGGGGGGGGAGGGTCTTTCCTCCTGGAGACTCTTGACTGCCTCAAAAGACGTGTGTGGCCGCTGCTGTCCCAAGGAGGCGCCTGGCCTGGGCGGGTCCAGGGATGGGCATCATGCTGGCCATCTGGCCTCATAGCGCTGCTGTCTGGGATATGGGGGGCCTGCTTCCAGGTTCTGCTCAGCCACCACCTCTCTCTGTGACCCCAGGCATCTCCCCAAGCTGCGCTGCAAAAACACAGAGGCTGAGCTAGGCACCCACTCAGGGTCTGAATCCTGGGATTCAACCTCGGGTCAGCCCATTGGTGGACGTAGCCCTGGTGCCCTTGCTGGTCAGGGGTGGGGAGAGGCTCCCTCTGGACCACGCAGCACTGCTGGCTGCACAAGGGCAGCCAACAGCCTGTGGGTTTGGGAGGCACTTGTGAGCTACGGCTGCTCTGCCTGGAGGCTCCCAAAGCCCCCAGAAATTATGGGAATTATAGAGGAAGAGAGATATTTTCAGCAAACATTCTGCCAAGCCAAAGCAGATGGTGGAAAATTTTGCATACTAAAAACACAACATTTTTTAATGTAAAGGAATGGTGATATGGCCTCGGGGAGTGTAGACAGTCTGAATTAGCCCTCTCCAGCCCACCAGCTGGGCACAACTGCAGAGACGCAGGGCTATCTGTCCCTGCTGGGACAAGGAATGGATGCTCCTCCTCACACAGGGCAGGCTCCGTGCCTGAAATCCCACGGAGATGCCTCCCCAGGCCAGGGCTCCCTCTTGGTGGCAGCAGAGGGGAGTGGGGGAGTCATCAGCTCTGAGACTTGGCGCAGTGTCCCACCTCTGCCACTTCCCAGTGGTATGACTCTGGGCCAGTTTCCTATTCTTCTTTTTTTTTTTGAGACGGAGTTTCACTCTTGTTACCCAGGCTGGAGTGCAATGATGCGATCTCGGCTCACCGCAACCTCCGCCTCCTGGGTTCAGGCAATTCTCCTGCCTCAGCCTCCTGAGTAGCTGGGATTACAGGCACGCGCCACCATGCCCAGCTAATGTTTTGTATTTTTAGCAGAGACGGGGTTTCACCATGTTGACCAGGATGGTCTCGATCTCTTGACCTCGTGATCCACCCGCCTCGGCCTCCCAAAGTGCTGGGATTACAGGCGTGAGCCACCGCGCCCAGCCTATTCTTCATTTTTGATAGAGACATCATCTCCCTATTTGCCAAGGTTGGTCCCGCATTCCTGGGCTCAAGTAACCCTCCCACCTCGGCCTCCCAAAGTGATGGGATTACAGGTGTGAGTGCCCGGCCGTGGGCCAGTCCTTTGCCAACCTGTGTGCTCAGTGGCTCACCTGTGGAATGGGGGGTGGGGGCTCCTGTCCCAGGGTGTGAAAACAGTGGTCGGCATCTGACCTGTGGCAGGTCCCTGACGGGCAAGAGCTGTTGTACTGGACAGGCCTCTGGAACTCAGGGACCTACACTTCGCAGCACTGGGCTGGCCCCAGGGTGCCCGGGCCAACTTCACAGCAGGGCTCACCTCTTTCGGGGGAGTGTGGATTCCCAAGCTGGGCCTCGTAGGGCACCATGGTACAGGGTGCCTTCAGAAGCCATTCAGAGGCTGGATTTGTACCCAGGCCTTTCCACTGCCAGAAACATCGCTTTTCCACCTCACAGAGCAGGCAGGACACCCCCGGGTCCTGCCTGACCCTAACGGCTCTGCCCCCTCAGAAATCCTGCCCTCCAGGCGGCCATCCGCCTCTTGGTCTTCCCACCCTGCTTTTCTGTGCCCTCTCTGAACCCTCTTCCTGTCGCAGCCAGAGGCCGAGGTGCAGGGAAAGCTCCGGCTCACTCAGCCGCCAGAGTTGAGCTCTGGTCCTGCCTCAGATGCTCCTGGGCAAATACCTTAATCTCTTTCAACCTCAGTCTTCACATCTGTAAAATGGAGATGAAAACGACTACCAAGTAGGACACACGGCTTTGGGAATTTAAAAGGCTACACAAGCCTACAAGCATTTTCACAAATTAGAATCTAATCCACCCCCTCCAGGAACCCATTCAAATCCTACCTCCACTGAAAAGTCTCCTCAGCCCCAGGGAAAGGAGCCCGGGAGACAGGACCTCCCACCTCTCCCACAGGACGCTGTCTGGCTTGCGTTTCTTTTCCTACCAATGCCTGCCTTGACCTCAATGGATTCAGGCACCACCCGAGGGCACGGCCATCCCTGAATGCACGCGTCTCTTCCCTCGGCCTGACCGCCAGGCTTTGAGCAAAGCGGGTACTCAGGAAATGCTTGCTGACTGTTTTCCTGAAAACCCTACCCAGGGCCGGAAACTGCACCATACAAAGAGCAGGGCCGGCCAGGGCAAGGGGTGGCTACAGTGGGAAAGGAGCCCCCAAAGCCCCATCTGCCACCTCCATCTCCCCCACAGAGCTGAGGTTTCCACCAGGATGAGCGCTAGGCAAACAGTCAGCCTTTCTGGGCCATGATGGAGGAATCTCAGGGGTGCCAGGTGCCTCTCCCAGCCTCAACCCTGAGGGACACTCTAAGGGGGATGCTGGTGGCCTTAGCCTGGGCAAAAAACAGATGAATGGGGAAGGGCTGCAGGAGGCTGGTGGGCCGTGGGGAGAGTGCTCCGTTCACACAGGGCCTGCCCTTCTTCCAAACCCACCTGCAGGCCAGGGTGCGGGGCTGAGGGAAACAAGCTCTCTCTTTGGTTTGAAACTTCCTGCAGGGCCCTGGAGAATTGGGATCTGGATAGGGAGAAGGGGGTTCCAAGGCCCGGAGAGCCTGTCCTCTTATGGAGGGGCCCACTGGTAGCCAGAAGAGGCTCAGAGACCACCCCTCCCTCACTCAGGGACCCTGGAGCCAGAAGATGTGGGCACACTTCCAGCCCTTTGCTGGCGAGCAACCTGACCACCCCTGACAGCCCCAGGACTACCCCGGAGGGCTAGTGAGGCCATGGTACCTGGGGAGCCTTCCTTCTAGGCTGCCAGGAAAGGCCCCCGGGGGCAGCCCCAGGCACGAGAGTGGACGGCACAGACAGGGCTGGGAATCCAGGTTTGGGGAGTGGAGGAGGCCATCCTGCACCTGCTTATTCATTTTCCATCAATTTTCATTTACTCCCTCCTTCAGGTCCAGAGACAGGAGGCACCAGGCAATGAAGACAAATCCGCAAGTCAGTAGAGACGTGGTCACCAGCGCTGGAATCTTGTGGTCCCTGCCCTTGCTTGAGGAGCTCCGGATAGAATGAAAGGTGGAAGGATGGAAGATAAGAACAGCTCCCTGCAGAGGGAACGTGATAGGCTGATGAAGGGTGGGGGATTCTTCAGGGAGAGGGCCAGTCAGAGAGGGCTTCCTGGAAGAGGTGGAATCTAAGGATGTGCATAATTTAGACAGATATGAAAGCTGGGCTGGGGCGCGCCAGGCATCCTGAACAGAGAACAGGACAAGCAAAGGCCAGGCAGTTGACTCCTCTGGGGCCAGGACAGTAGTGTTTGCTCAGGAGAAAGGCTCCAGGCACAGGTGCACAAGGGCCTGGTCTGGGTGTGGTCTGTACGGTCAGGACACATGAGAGACGAAACGTGGCAAGTGCCCGCAACTTTGCTGGGTGCAGGATGTGCTCTTGGGTGCTCCTGACTCCAGCCCTCTCTCTGTGTGTGTCTCTGGGCCTTCGTGGTTCGTTCACTTCATCTCTTTATGCCTCTCTTGCTGAGTTTTTTAATACAGAGACAGGGTCTCGCAATGTTGTCCAGGCTGGCTTCGAACCCCTGGGCTCGAGTGATCTGCCTGCCTTGGCCTCCCAAAGTGCTGGGATCACAGGCATGAGCCACGGTGCCCGGCCTCTTACTGATGTTTCTAAAGTCTCCCTCTGCCTGTGAATTTCTTGTCTCATTTCCTTCCCCGGGTCTGCGTCTCCGTGTGCTCAGAGCCTTCTGCAGTGTCTCTGGGTTCCTCTTCCTGTCTTGCCAGCTCCTCTCACTCTCCAGGACCTGCATCTCTGGGCCTCCATCTATGTCTCTCCCTCACCAGGCCTCCCTGTCACATATCCTCAGGGCCCTGCTTTCTTGGCCTCTGCATTTGTGCCTCAGTTTCTCCCACCTCGGCTGGAATCTCAGTCCTTCCTCAGGCTCACCGGGTCTGTGGTCAGAGCTTAGGTGTGGGGTGGGCTGCCTGCTTTGCCTGGATCTCCTGTCACCCCAGGGGCAACCAAGGCGGGGGGCCTGCCCATTTCTTCCCATGTGCAGGCCAGGGCCCTGTCAGGAGGCCCTGGGAGGGAGCTGCAAGCTGAGCGGAACCAGGGCAGTTGTCTCCCAGGGCTCCAGTGGAGCCTGGCGGGGCAGGGAGGCCCAGATTTATTCAGTTCCCTTCGTCCCTGAGATAGGCGAGAGGCTGGAGGCAGATGCGCTTCACTGCCTGAGCAGAGCCTGGCATGGGCCAGGCACACACGGGAGCTCTGCATACCTCCACCAAAAGGAAGGCAGAAGCTGGCCCCTGGGGTCTGGGCCCCACTCTCCCGGTTCCGCTAAGATGGGGCCCACAGATGTCACCTTGTACCTGGAATCAACCAATCAGCTGAGGTTGTCACTGGGGTTCGGGCAAATTAGAGGTGACAGCCATGCTCCTGACCTCCGTGGTGTGGCTAATGAAGTCCTTTTGCTCTTGGAAATCAACCTCTAAGCCAGCGAAGAGGCCCAGGACAGGCAGGTGGGCTGCTGGGGGAAGGGGTCGGGTGCAGCAGGTGAGGAAAGCAGCAGTAGCTCACTGATGCTCTGGACTTCTGTTCTGTGGGGGGACCTCCACTCACACCCACCATCACTGAGCTTGTGTTTGGCTTAACCAAGGGCTCCAAAGGTCAGAACAAATCCGTGTGTGTGGGCTTCCCTTTGAAAACACTGCCACGCGGGATGTGGCCAAGTATACTTCCCTGAGATTTAGGAAAAGGGTAGTTTCCCGACTGCTGCGAGTGTTTCTCTTCCTTTCCAAGCTGAGACTACAGTGCAAATTATTTGGCTCTCTGTGACTTAGTTTCCTCTTCTGTAAAATGGGAGTAGCAGTGCCCCTATCACAGGTTGTTGGGGGATGACATGAAGTCACAGAGATGGGTAGCACCTGGTGCAGCCCGCAGTGAGCAACCGTGTCACTGTGGCAGCCACTGCTGTGGCTTTTTGTGTTTTCATCCAACTACTCGGCACCAAGGCCTGAAGCCTGTCCCTCTTACCTGAAGCCTGGCCCTCTTACCTGAAGCCTGGCCCTCTTACCTGAAGCCTGGCCTTCTTACCTGAAGCCTGTCCCTCTTACCTGAAGCTGGACCTCTTACCTAAAGCCTGGACCTCTTACCTGCACTGACAGACAGGCAGATAGTACCCAGGCCTCAGGAACTTGGCAGAACGGCAGCTCCATGGGAAGACTGATGCCTGGCTGACTGCCAGTGTTTCTCCCAGCGGGACCTGCCTCGGCCTCGGGCAGCGCCGGGCCACCCTCTACCCTCGCCCTGCCTCAGGTGGGATGGATGACATTCATTTCCCAAATGTCTGGCTAGACCAGAGTCACAGACACAACCGTCTATGACATTGTTTGATAGTTTATTTTCTTGACCCAAACAGCAGCCTTACACTTGGGAGATCTGAGTGAACGGCTTTCAAGGCGCCACACGGGGCATACAGGGCTGTTCTCAGGTGGCTCAGACAACTGTCCCTCCCTTGTCTCTAATCAGTCCTTTCTGGCTTGTGTGCCTGAGAGTGAGTGAGCATGTGTGTGAGTGCATGCGTGCATGCATCTGTGTGCATGTGTGTGCGTGTCTGTGTGCATGTGTGCGCGCATCTGTGTGTGTGCGCATGTACGTCTGTGTGTGTGTGCATGTGCATGTGTGTCTGCATGTGCATGCTTGTCTGCGCATGTGTGCACGTGTCTGTGCATGTATGTGCATGTGTCTGTGTGCGTGTATGTCTGTGTGTGCGTGCTTATGTTTGTGTGCATGTGGGCGCATCTGTGTGCGTGTATGTGCATGCATATGTGGGTTTGCATGTGTGCGTGTGCACGTCTGTGTGTGCGTGTGTCCGTGTGTGCATGCGTGTGTCTGAGTGTGTGTGTGTTTGGTGGCTTCTATTAGCTTTATATTTCAAAAATCCCAGGTATTTCCAGCTCCCCAGGACTCTAGAGCCCACGCAGGGAGGAAATGAGTGGAGACAGGGAGGTGATAATTAGGCATAAGAGGCCGTCCTGGGGCTGGGACTTGGCTAGTTCACAACACTGTGAGCACTTATCACAGCACGGTGGGGCTGCTGGGTGGGTCTGACGGGATTTCACTGGGCAGCACATGTCCGCGTGTATGTGTGTGTGTGTGTGTGTGTGTGTGTGTGTGTCCACTCTACCTTCCCCCCCCACACGGAGGCCTCCCTACTCCACTCTACCTCCCCCCTACATGGAGGCCTCCCTACTCCATTCTACCTCCCCCCTACATGGAGGCCTCCCTACTCCACTCTACCCCGCCCCCCCACATGGAGGCCTCCCTACTCCACTCTGCCTCCCTCCCACCCCACATGGAGGCCTCCCTACTCCACTCTGCTTCCTTGGGCAGCTCCAGCCCCCGGCCCCACCTGGTACAACACACACTCCTGGCTGAAGGCTATGGGGAATTCAGGTACCGTGGCTGGCCTATGTGACAGAAATGGCAAATCCAGAGTCTGCCAGGAAAATACTGGGGTGGAGAGTGGCTGGGGGTGAGGAGAGGGTAGCTGAGCTTCCAAAATGCAAATCTCTCAGGGGCAGAGAAAGGAGGAAGCGAAACAGCAGCAGCAGGCTCGGGCAGTGAGCAATCCTATCTGAAAATAAAACATTTTACAATCCACAACTGCGCCTCATTAGACTGAATGGATTGAGTGGTATAAATAGCACGCCGCGTGCAGAAGTCAGGAAACGGCCTATGTGTCTGACGGAGAAATGGCTGCACGGGACAGCTTCTTAGCTCAGCCGGTGGCGGGTCCACACTCACGAGACCTCCTGGGTTCAAAGCTCTCGTAGGCCATGCGGCCTCCCTGATCTCGGACCCAAAAGGCCCTGCCAGGCACCAGCCCCACTCCCAACCTGGGGCCTCACCCTGGACACATGGCACCAGCCCACAGTGTCTGACCCACAGGTTTCCCTTGCTAGTGTCCTGCCTCTGGGCTTGAATGCTCCCGCTGACAGGGAGCTCACTCCTCTGTCAGATGCAAAGCCGTCAGTTCTGCAGATGGACAGCTATGGATCAAGAAACCCACAGGTCCCCCTGCCCCGCCCGCCTCAGCTCTGCTTGGGAAAAAGCGGCCCTAACTGGCCGTGCCATCCGTTATGCTTGATTATCAGACACTGAACAGAAATAACTGGGCCAATGACTTTTCCTCCCAAGTATGGACATGGGGTCCCGAGAGCGAGGTGGAGGTGGGGTAGGTGGGTGGCTTGGAGGGAGGGCGAGCTGCAGAGCAGACATCGGGAGCACAGAGCCAGCACAAGCAGAAGCAGCTCAGCCACCCCGTGCATCTCCTGGCAGCCTCGCCAGTCTTTGTCTCCCGCCCTGCTTCTGGGAGAACCTTCCTCAGCAGCTTGGCAGTAACCCCTACCTCGGAGGTCCCTGATCCTCACAACCAAAGCCAGCGAGCACGGGGAGCTGAGTGAGAGCCCGACCCTGCATGGCTTCTGCCACGGGCGGGTGTGCACTGGGGTGTGGAAGCTGGGTCCCAGGTCCTCTACAGCACAACCCAGCCGCCGACAGGACCCTAGGCAGACCTCCTGAACTGACCCAGCGTGAAGGACTCCACCACCTGCAGTGGCCCCAGAGGCTGCTCTGAGCATCAGCTGGCCGTAAGCCACAGACCGCTGGGGCTGGGGCCAGGACAGCTCGGAGGGACTCAGCCTTTCCAGAAAGATGATGGGTAGAGGGCATGGGGCAGCAGCAGCAGGTCAGCTGGGGCCTCACTGGGGAAGGGCAGCCCCAGTAAACATTTGGGGCCTGAGCTGAACCAGACTGCTCAAGCCACACAGAACCCCCAAGCTTGCTTTCACCCAACCACAGACCGGACCACGGTTTAAGATTTTTAAAAAACTGTCTAACAGGGCCGGCTGCGGTGGCTCACGCCTGTAATCCCTGCACTTTGGGAGGCCAAGGCAGGCAGATCTCGAGGTCAGGGGTTCAAAACCAGCCTGGCCAAGAGGGTAAAACCCCATCTCTAGTAAAAATACAAAAAATTAGCCAGACATGGTGGCACATGCCTGTAATCCCAGCTACTCGGGAAGCTGGGGCAGGAGAATTGCTTGAACCCTGGAGACAGAGGTTGCAGTGAGCTGAGATCATGCCACTGCACTCCAGCCTGGGCAACAGAGCAAGACTCTGTCTCAAAAAAATAAAAAACAAAAATAAAACTGTCTAACATCGAGTGAACCAGTAAAGTGATCATGAAACTCCCATTTTTCTTAAAAATCCCCTACTGGAACAAATCCGAAACCTTGGAATACTTTTCTAGAACAAGGGAACCAGTGTGTCACACTGTTCAAAGCCATGTGGGAGGCCTGTGCTCCCCTCCGGTGAAGAGCAGAGGATGGGAGGTGGCAGGATCCCTGCAGAGTCAGGCTGTGACCCAGGTCAGGCTGTGACCCAGGCCTCCGCAGAGAAGGGAAAAGGAATTTGCCTCGCAGCCGGAGCTGCCTGTATCCCCGCTGGGAGCTTTTTGGTTCCTCTCTAAGGGCACGGAATGGGTTTTTACACCCCGTGAGTGGGGCTTTTGATGGTGCTGGGCAACATGAAAAGGCCTCCCCAAATCTGCTCAGGCCACAGCCCAGTGACACAGCTTTCATGACACCCAGGATCCCAGGCAGAAAGAGGTCCACGGGGTGAAACTTCATGAACCCAGAGGTCCTGGCTCCCACCTGAGAAGAGGACACGTGTCCAGAAAGGCCTCTGAACGCTGGACGCTGGCGTCAGGCCCCTGCTGCCAGGCTCAGCCACAGCTGAGAAGGGCGGCCAGAAACGACAGAGCAGGCAGGTGGGGGCTCACGCCTGCGATACCAGAACTTTGGGAGGCTGAGCCGGGCAGATCACTTGAGCCCAAGAATTCAAGATCAGCGTGGGCAACGGGGAAGAACCCCATCTCATTAGCAGGTGTGGTAGTACATGCCCAGCAACTTGGGAGGCGGAGGTGGGAGGATTGCTTGAGCCTGGGAAGTCGAGCGTGCAGTTAGCTGAGTCTGAGCCACTGGACGCCAGCCTGAATGACAGAGTGAAACCCTGTCTTTAAAAAAAAAAAGAAAGAAAAAAACTACAGGGCAGACCTAGGCAGTGGTGCCTCCGGGTCACAGCTCTGGAGGCTGAAAAGAATACGAAGGCACGTCCCATTAACTGCCCTCGGCATTGGAGATGGAGAAGAACAGTGTCCCATCTGAGAATCGCTTCCACACGTAACGACTCCAGCCAGGATTGCTCTTCCAGCCGCCCTTTTGCCTTCCCCTCTTTATAGTGACAGCTGGAACTGCAGCACCCGCCATGTGAACACGAGGGAAAGAGCAAGAATTGCAAAGACATCTGTCCTGACATCGCTGTCGTTCCTTCCTCTACGCTTCATATTTTACGAGAGAAAGACGGATTATTTTACTACTCAGACATGCCAGGTTGATATGGTTACTCCCAACTCCCACCCAGCAAATCTCTGTGTAGGGTGGGATCCAGCTCGAAGGAAGGAAGAAGCCTCAGAGGGGGTGAGCCCAGCTCTAAAGGTGTTCCAACCCCAGACCCCACAGCACTGAAAAGCAGCCTCAGAGGGGTGAGCCCAGCTCTAAACGGGTTCCAACCCCAGACCCTACAGCACTGGTGCCTCCATTTATACCTCATGTACCACAGGGGAGCTAAGAGACCAGGCTGCATGAAAAAACTGCCTTCACTGCTGTCGTAAACCCGGAGCGATGATATGCCAGGAAGAGTAGGGCAGAGCATACACTGCACACTGCCTGCAGGGATCAGGTGGAGGGGGAGAGAGGTCGCTTAGAGGCAGCCAGGTCAGACCTGGGGCCAGGCACCTACCATTCCCCACCGGCTCCTGGGGAAAGAAGGAATGGGTGGCTGGGCTCACCGAGGGGTCTGCAGGCAGATCCTTGGCCAACATCGACACCCAGCGCCCAGGGAGGGGGAGAGTAGAAACCTCGGTGGCCAGAGCACCTGTCCTGAGGGGCAGTGCCGTCACTGGCTGTCCTTTGGAGAGAGGCATGGACATGGCTCATCTTTCCCTGATACTGGCATTGTGTTATTTTTAACGTTTACATCTTGTCTCTCTGCAATGTGTTCCTGGACACACACAGAAGGAGAAAGAAATCTAATTACACCAGCTCCAGTTATGAGATAGATCTGTTATTTCTCACAGACTTGAAAAGCTACTTACATTTGGCTTCCATACATTCTTAGGGCTGTTCTTTCTCTGTTCCTGTCTATTTATTCTTGTCTGTTTATTCATTCTATAAATAAATATTCTATTTATCCTGATGCCAATACTATATTGTTCTTACTGATTACAGTAATTTTATAGTAGGGTTTAAAATTTGGTTGGATAGGGCTGGGGCGCAGTGACTCACACCTGTAATCCTAGCACTTTGGGAAGCCAAGGGGGGCAGATGACTTGAGGTCAGGAGTTTGAGACCAGCCTGACCAACATGAAGAAACCCTGTCTCTACTAAAAATTAAAATAAAAAAATTAGCCAGATGTGGTGGTGCATCCCTGTAATCCCAGCTACTCGGGAGGCTGAGGCAGGAGAATCGCTTGAACACGGGAGGCAGAGGTTGCAGTGAGCCGA